TTTTTTTGTTCCTGCCACCGCCATCAGCTCCAAGAGCCCCTCGGCGGGGGCTCCAAGCCTCCAAGGCACCCTCCATGGTGGTTCCTGTGCCGCAGTGGGTGGACCCTTCGGAGGCTGTTCCTGAGCCGCAGTGGGCGGCCCCGGCCTCGTCTGAACCTGTTCCTGAGCCGCAGTGGGCGGCCCCGGCCTCGTCTGAACCTGTTCCTGAGCCGCAGTCGGCGGCCCCGGCCTCGTCTGAACCTGTTCCTGGGCCGCAGTGGGCAGCCCCGGCCTCGTCTGAACCTGTTCCTGAGCCGCAGTCGACGGCTCCCTCTGAGACTGTTCCAGAGCCGCAGTGGGCGGCCCCTTCCGAGCCTGTTCCAGAGCCGCAGTGGGTGGCCTCGTCTCTCCCTGGCTCCTAGTTTGGATTTACCACTGATGTCTCCTTGGTTAAGGTCTCTGCGTTTGGGTCCTCCATACAAACACAGATTCATGACATGTATGTTCATAAAGATAATTTATGATCATTTAAAAAGTTAAAGTTAGGAATGTTTGTTAAATCTGATGTGGTGCATTCGTAGGCGATAACAGTAGGGAAAAAAAGAGAACATGAAAATGTTGCATGAGGCCTGTTGCTGCGACTGGTCTAATATATTTCGACCTAAAAACTCGAAAAACATGAAAATAACAGTGGTTACACCTTTACCAATATAGACATGTTAGACATTGTTAGAAAGCTTATGTTCTCCAAAATTCAACCACCAAGTTCATTTTATGGACATAGCGAGCCCCAAAGCACAATTAACAAAGATATAGCTGCAGGGTAAAATGTAAATATGAAAAAGCAGCTGCAACAACATACATTTGAAGGCGTCCTGAAGCCATATGATAAATTCAATCTTCAATTCTTTAACTCAATTTAAGCGTCCACAGATTAAAAGTAATCCAGCATTTTCATAACACAAAAAATTCTGTGATAAGAAAATGGCCACATTACGTCTGTTTTTAAAAAAATCAGAAAAGTAAGTAGACTTACTTCCTCAAACATTTGCGTTAGCTTTCAAATGATGTATCACACATGTACCGGTAATTGGAGCTCACAGTTCCTTAGTTATTTGCTTTTCCATTTGGGTACGTAAAAATGTTGTGTCATCCATCATGGACAACACCTTTCACCGTCTGCACCAGACTGTAGAGGTGCTGAGCAGCTCCTTTAGTGAAAGTCTTTTCACCCACCCTGTTTGTTAAAAGGAGCGCTACCACATGTCATTCATCCCTGCTGCCACCACACTATACAATGCAACACTACAACGGCAATAACTTGTGCAATGTGTAATGAGCAATTACTATTTCATACCCTGTGCAATAAACTTTTTCTTTTAATTACCAAGTGCTTTTATAGATAAATACCAATCTATATAAATACCCTGTGCAATAACCCTGTATAATAACCCTGCCTTAAGAAAAGAATGGATGCACTGTATATACTGTATAGATCTGCCCCATGTACCTTGTCTTACAAGGCAACATCTTCTTTCTGACTATTTGATCCAATGTAACGAGGACATTTTTCCACTGTGAGATCAATAAAGTCAACCAATCAATCAGTCAATCAATCAATCAATCAATCAATCAATCAATCAATCAATCAATCAATCAATCAATCAATCAATATGTCATGATGGGTTCACTGGTGTGACCCAATTATGCAGAACACCACTGAGACGGAAGCAGGAGTAAAAGGTTTAACAGAGTTTTTTTTCACAAGCACAGAGTTAGTGACTGGTTCTGGCCTGGGAAACTGGTTCACCGGAGTCTTGAGGGTTCTTGAAGAAAACCTTGAGAGGGAAACTGTTGGATCTGGAGAGGATTTGATCAGCAGAGTCCGTAAGCTGCTTCAGCGTCTTACTTCTTAGGAATAAGC